TGAAATGCAATGCCCTGCTTTGCAGTTGATCCCTCAGCTGTTCTTTAAAAGCCGTGTTGTTTTGCAAGGCCAAAAACCTCATGCGTTCTCCTTATCGGATTAGAAACTGGGGGAAAAGCACATTATTGAAGTTCCTGAGTAAAACCTGGTGATGAGTTCACAGAATACAGGGGCTGGAAGAGACCTCCAGGGATCGTCCAGTCCAACTCCTGCTCATACAGCTCCCTACAGTAGGTTGCACAGGAAAGGTTCAGGTGGGCTTTGAGCATCTCCAGAGCAGGGGACTCCACAACCTCTCTGGGTAACCTATTCCAGTGCTCTGTCACTAACACAGTAAAGCTTTTTCTCATCTTCACGTGGAACTTTCTATCTTCCAATTTGTGCCCTTGTCCTCTTGCTGGGCACCACAGAAAAGAGCTTGGCCCCATCCATTTGACTTCCATGCTTAGGTATTTATAAACAGCGATGAGATCCTCTCTCAGTCTCCTCTCCTCTCCCAGGTCTCTCAGCCTTTCCTCAGAAGGGAGACTCTCCAGGCTCCTATTCATCTTTGTAGCCCTTCACTACAAAGGAGGAAGAGTACCACACTTGTGAAAGCATTTTACCTCCATGCTGTTTCTACTCAAGATGTATTTATAGGCTCATACAGGCAGTATTTCTCAAGCTGAGCCAGAGCCCAGTTTCAATACAAAGAGAACGTACATGTGTTCCACTGAAAGAAGCAATAAAACTACACCCAGATCATCTCAGCCAAGCACAAAACATCATCAGCCACAGACAAATCCCTAATCTTGAAGCATTTCAAAGGCAATGCAGAGTTAATCTCTGTGCCCAGGGATGCTGCTGCACCCAAAGAGCAGCTCTGTCACCTCTGATGAAATGCATCAGTTGCCATGAGCGCAGCAGAACGCAAATTCTGTAAGAAATACTGTAGACTAGGCAACTTTTGCTTTGTTCCTCAGTCTCCCAAGTTTCCAACACTTCACAAAATGGTAGAGAGCGATGTAGTAGACCTCCACACCTCTGTGCATCACAGCACATCAACCCTCCAGAGATCCCTGTAATGGCAGTGACAAATACCCCACAGCATCAACAACCTGATGTGTCCCAGGGGTGGGATCACTGCACAGCCACTCACCTCCTGATGCCATATCCACCAGTCTCTGAAACCTGATGGCTGCTGGAAGTGGGGAGGAGGGACCTGGAGAAGGATACGAGCTCTGGTTTTATAGGCTATGTCTGAAAATGGGGCTGCTGCTCATCATGGATGGGATGTAGGGCTAGATGGAGGCTGCACAAATTTATTTTACGCTGCTAACAATGAGTAAAAAGTGAACAGGTTGGGGACCAGACACTGGAATTTACTAGTAGCCCAAGTGTTTGGGAGGACAAGTCTCCAAGGATGGCCAAAGCAGCATCTTCTATGAGCCCTTTCCTTCACCCCAGAGATGCCAGGTAGGAGAGAGGCGTAAGACCTGCAAGAGGTGGTGCCTTGTGCTCCTAGGGCAAGCAAAACTCTAATCTGAGGAGCCACCAGAGCACTGCCAGGATGATGACACCACTGCAGTCTGCCCTTACCAGGCTATGGGGCAGGGAGATGAGACACAGCAATGGGTAACTCAGCATCAAAACTGCTTACAAACCAGCTGCCTTGTCCAACAAGAGTAATGGAAAGCGCATGTACAAATGCTCTGCTCTTCCCATTCCCTCTATCCCCTCCAAACACACCCAAAGGGTCCTGGGCCCTGCTGGGGACTGCCCACACTCGTGCTGACTTCCCTGCCTGAGCTGCTTGGCCCTCCACCCAGTCATGAAACACATATCCCACAGGGCTGAAGCACATCACCACACACAGCGCTTCATTAAAAGCCTCAGAGTGACAAGGAGTGTTAAGCAGATATAAAGGACATCAGTCATTTACCCATCTGGTGGAAAGTCTAGTTGCTGGCAGAAAATAGACAAGATTGTTACGGCGAGATTCACCATATGGCACCATTATGCAGAGCTTTGCAAGTGCTTTCTCTGAGCGTGCAAGCAAGATTTCAGCCTTTGAAGAAACGCTGTATTGTTAGCCTAGATACACAGGAGCCTCTTGAAAGAAGCTGTGGCAGATGGCTCAGCTTTGTTCCCTGTGTTCGAAGGCAGCTCGTCAGGACGCGGACGTCCCCTGTCACGGGTACAAGGGACAGGCAGCCCCAGCACTGCCTCCCAGGGCTGGTGTTGGCGTCACTCTGAGGACACATGCATGCCACCACATGCCATGGCATGCTGAACATCCTGATGGAGGACCAGAGGCTGCTGAAGGTGTAGAAATGGCCTAAACCCAGTGGGTGCTGCCGGAGGTACCTTGCTGCTGTGAGAACTCTGCAAGCTCTGCCCAACCTTGGTGGGATGCAGTAGTGGCAATGAAAGAGTCGCACAAAACCATCAAGTCTCATCCCAGCAAAAAGAGCTGCATAATGCTAAATTTTGCTGGAATACTCTGCTTTTGTCAGTGACTCCATACAGCACCTGCTCCTCCCTGGGTGGCTGAGCCTGGCCGGAGCCCCAGCAGGACACAGGACAAAGGAAAGCCTTTCAAATGGGGCCGGCGCCCGCTTGAGCGACATCCCAACAATACCCCCAACAATACCCCCGAGAAAGCCCATTCAACTCTGGGGAGGGAGTAGGAAGGGAAAGGGGAAAAGTTGCTCTGGGAGGAAATAGTAATCATTCACTGACCGCAGCAACAGCATTTCCATGTGCTCGGAGCAAAGGCAAGCCACTACCTGCTCCTGTTGCTGGCTGGGCTGGGATGTATAGTACCCACAGCCTAGGCTGCAAATGGGGCACATTCCCTGCTGGAAAAGCACCTGCACAGCCACAACATGAAAACAAGACTATTCTGCAGAAGTTGAAAAGCAGTTAAAATGCAAAGTGTCTACGTACAGGGCAGGCCGTACAGCACATGGCAGGAAAACAAAACAAGCTTCTAGCTAACCTTGGAGATACAAGTGCTGGCTTAAACCCTCAGCAGCCTAAGCCCTCGTGCTCTGCTACTGGCCCAATCACAGTTGCTCTCCAAAGTTGTTACTGGACTCAGATGAGCATTAAGAACACCCAGAGTCCTAAAGATTTTTGGCAGGATTGCTCCAAAAAGAAAGAGGTGTTGCCCCTTGATGCTCACAGCAGCTCAGGGTCTGCAGAGTGGGGACCTTGTGCGTTATTTATCTTTATGGGAGGACTGTCCCAACGGGTGACCAAATCCAGGACCAAAATCCTCCCTGTGCACCACTCCGAGCCTGGGCTGAAGGGAACAAGTGGTGCAGAAAAGCCAGTATGAAGCCACAAGAGAAGAGTTGGCAGAACACCAACCTGAACTGGCAAAGCCTCCAGGTTCCCTCCAGCCCCTCTGACTTCTATCAACCCAATGACCAAGTACACTGAGCCCTTTGGAGGCAGCCCTGCTCCCACAGTGTGGGCACATGCTGCCCTGTGGCAGACACTCAAGTGTGACCCGGCAGAGTTGGGGCCACGGTGCTGAGCAGCAACACGGGGCTCTGCAGGCATAAAGCTCAGCCCAGAGCCTCTGAGCTCTTTCTCTGTCTCTCTTCCAAATGTTACACAGTGGGTTTATACAGAAACAGTGGGATAGTTTCCAAACCATTTAGCTAATGCTGAAATTTAATACCCAGCACCAACAGGTTATGGAGAGTAAGAAGGAGCTAGCTGTAACGGGGGTGGAGAGGGGAGGCCGCATCTTCACTCCTCAAAATGCCTTTTGGGGGAATCTGCCCTCATGCACCCATGGGGATCAGATCAGCCCTCCTTTCCTTTCCAGCTCAGGTAAATCACATTTCTGCAGACAAACCAAGGGGCTGCAGCTGCTTGCATAGGAGCACAGCAGGGACATGCTGCTTGCCCTCCCCGAATGACTCCAGGCCTCAAGGGAGCCAGCACGGCTTCCACTGACCCCACTCCTGATGCAGCAGCTGCCTCCCAGCTTTCTTCTCAGCAGCAGCTGGGGAAAAAAAAGCAAAACCTTGGCAGCATGAAGCAAGGGAAACACCAAAGCATGCCTGGGTGTGGCTGATCCCCAGCAGCTCCTGCCTTGCTGCACGTGCATCAATCTCCACAGTGCATCCTGCGCTGGAAGCATCCACCCAAATTTGGGGGGAGATGCTTTGAAAATCACCTGAGTGCAGAATGTGCTGTGGCCGCAGGGATGTCCTGTCCCTATTGTGGCATACTGTGCATCCCAGCCCACTTTGTCCTATTGCTCATGTAGAAAGTCCTCTGGGATAAACCTGCTCTGGAGTGGCCTGGATCACCAAACCCAGGCTGCCCATGACTGATGGGACATGCTTATCATGAGGTGTAACCTCCCAGCACCACAGCATGACCTTTCTGCTCCTGCTATACAACAAAACACCACAAAAAAATTCCATTTCAGTGCTGAACCAACTCAATTGGAGCATTTCTGGTCCATCCAATAAGCCATAGAGAAAAGCAAGGAAATCAAAGCTTCTTTTTGCTGATGTTTTTTATTTTTCTGTTCCATCTTCTTCAGAGTTTTGAGTACTGAGGGACAAAGAAACAGCATCTTGACTCTCTGAACATCAATTTAGACTGTTACCAAGGAATCCTGCAAAGCAGAGTGAACAGCAAGGAAAACTGCTTTGCAACTACAGGGGATGAGCTGCTTTTCCAGCTCCCACACCACTATACCGCCCCACACTCCAGGGGTGTGCAAAGCAAGATATGACCCCTGCTGCTACCTGCCCTCAGAAATCAATACTTTCCAACAAGAAAGGGAAACCACCCCGAACTGGCAGTACTGCATGGAGTAGCAGAGCTCGAGGTTCAGCATTAAACCACTTGCAAGAGCAGCCCCTGATGCACCCTTCGCATCAAAGCCTGCCTGAAAACACAAACCCAAGCATGTCCTCACTGGACAGACTAGAAGGAGGGGGTGTGAAGGCTGGGAAGGGAAAAGAAAATATAAAGAGTGCTCTACTTACCACCAGCTCGGTGAACATGACATCCAGCTCCTCCACTGGTGGCATGGGCAGCGCAGGCTCCATGGTCTGCAGGGCAAAGCTGCTGTCATTGCGCAGGCGGTACGTGATCTCAGGATGGTCACTGCTACGAAAGCAGCAGAAGATGAAGGAGATCCCCCGACCGCTCCTCTTCCTCGGGGCCATGGCCGAAACGCTCCGCGTCCCTCCCTGCTGGGCGCTAGATCCTGGGGAGAGAGGAGAGAGAAGGCTCTGGCAGCTGCCCTGCAGTGCTGCGCTCCCGTCCTGCAGAGAGGAGGAATCGGAGCCACCCACACGCTCAGCGCGGAGGGGAAGAAGGGAGACCATTTATGTGCCAAATATTTCTGCTCAGATTTGACATTTACGGTCTGGGCAACCTTGAGGACCGTGCTAATTCAAAAGACGCCTTTGCTTGCCTTGTGCGGATGCCATCAGAACAGGAGGTGACCCCACACTCACAGCTCCGCACTGGAACAGGTCCTGACCCCCTGCCATCTCTGCAAATCCCAGCACAAACCCTGATGATGTCCCCACGCTGTGCTGCTCCCGTGAGCCCAGAAGCCAGACAGCGTATGGTTGATCTGGGATGCTGTGACCAAGAGCTGCTGGATGCACAATGCGTCCCCAGCAAATCAAGACCTCATACAGATCAAGAAGCCCTGAGCTGCAGTGCACAGAAATATCCTATATAACCCCACCGCACTCTTAAAAGCACTCCTAAACATCCACCAGCAGCCACCAGTCGGGAGGCTCTTTTTCACGGAAAGTTTTACTTGGTTTTAATTAGATAAACCCTACTTGGAATTCCAGTAAATATTTACAAGACGTGAATTCAGCTGATAAAAATCACACGGTGCTGGTAGCTCAGACTTTCCTACGCAGTGCTTACGTGGGGCATTACTCACGCCATCAGTCTGTTCAGTTCTGTTGATTTCTCAAGCTCACATCAGGACTGATGCTTGTGGCAGGAGGGTAAATATGCAGCAGCCAGCATGACAGAAATGCCACTCGGTACCTGGCCCAACAAATTACTGCAAGGACCAGGTAAACACTGCACAAAAAGCGTGACTGTCAAGGATAAGAGTCAGCAGCACAAGGGGAGAGCTTGTTAAGAGAGTGAGGATAGCAAAGGAGCACCCCAATGAGAAAAGGCAGACAGATTTTTGTAAAGTATATGCATTTGAATTCTAAATGCACAATAATTGAACACCCACTTGTTTCACATCTACAAAACACAACACTGAGATGTTTAGAGAAAGGGCAAGTAGCCACGCACTACCAACGTTAATGCAGAAGGTTGAAATATTGAGGACTTGGATTTACCAACAAAGTTAAGAAGAGATTTGGAGAAAAGGTCAACAGTTGCACAGAACTCTGATTTCCCTGGAGCCAGCCATTGCCATCTCACCACGTTTGTATGCCCCCCAAAAACCAGCTGCTGGGCACCACAGAGAGCCAGTGGTGGAGGTGGGTTGGTGGCAGACCTGCAGTGGGACCCTGCACCGCCACTTGCTTGCCCTGAGCAGCAAACACTGCTTTCCCAAAACAAGGACCTCGCAGAAAACTCAGGCTTACTCAGATAGTTTTAACTGAGGATCTGACCCTTGAAATTCTTTTCATCTGCATACTTTCAGCACACAGTGTAAACATCTGCCACACCAAGAGCCATGGGAAACAGTTACTCAGTCTTCATACAAAATAATCCCAAACTGCGCAACTGCTCTATGTCCAATCTGGATGGTGCCCCTCTCAGAAAGCCCAAACCTCACATTTAGCACCTTGGATTTGGAAAAATGCAGCCACTGGAGGAATTTCAGCTGCCACGAATCTTTCATCACAGCTCCCAGGCAGCCTGCACCAGAGCAAATCCATTAGCAGCCTGCTGGCACCCACTGGGCTGTAGGAGGGTTTAAGACCCAGTGGACAGCTTCTTTAATGGGGAAGGAAACAAAAAAACAACACACAGGCCCATTTCTTCCAACAAACAAGAAAGAAAACAAGCAGTGCATTGCAGGCTTGGTTTTGCTGGGCCATGTTACACTGAGGAATGAAGGCAGTGGAGACTGTAGTGATACCCCAATTCCACTTGGGGTGATTTCCCAATTCCAAGGCACAACAGTTCATCCCTTACATGGAGGCTTGGTTCCAATCCACAACCGCTCAGCTGTACAAAGTTTGGCCACTTGTTCCTCCTACTGAATCAGGGCATGATCCTGCTCCCATAGCCAGCATGCTTCGTGAACAAACAACCATGCTACTGGAGCAAAACAAGCTGCTCTCCTCTTCCACAGGGTGTTTGCAAGCTCCTTTTCAACACTGCATCAACTTTGTCCTTGAAACCTGCTGCTACATACAAGCTCTGACTGGGGCTTGCAAAAATGGAGAGAAAGCTTTTATTAGAACACCTGTTCTTCTGAGACACTCGCTCCTGTTGGTGTCTTAAGAGAAATCTGAATGACAGACCAAAATCATAGAATCATAGAATGGCTTGGGTTGAAAAGGGCCACAAAGCTCATCCAGTTCCAACCCCCTGCTGTGTGCAGGTCACCAACCAGCAGCCCAGGCTGCCCAGAGCCACATCCAGCCTGGCCTTGAATGCCTGCAGGGATGGGGCATCCACAGCCTCCTTGGGCAACCTGTGCCAGTGCCTCACCACCCTCTGGGGGAAAAACTTCCTCCTAAAGGAAGGCAGGATTTTGTTTTAAAGCAGGCAGCGTAGAAACCAAGACAAGGTATTTTTGAGTTGCTTCCAGCTCAGGAGCTATTGAGGTTACTAATTTTCATTTATAAACAATTAAAAAAAGAAACACCTTATAATGCAGGCTGAGTGGGCTGCGGGTTATTAGCAACAAAGGCTAAAAATGGTTAGAGAAAGAATATGTTAGCTACCAGGCAAATAGCATTAAGCCTTGAGAACACTGATGAATATTCATTAACGTGATGGATAAAAATCAAAACACTGCTTCCTGGCAGGTCATGGGGAGTGCTGCAGACAACACAGACTGCCTTGTCGGAATGCAGACCAGATACACAGCCTCCTCTTTTCCCTGTAAATTCTACAGAAATCAGTTATTCATGGAGAAAAAAGAAAAAAAAGAAAAAAAAAAGAGAAAAAAAAACACAACTACTTGCAACCTAAAGGAAAAACTTGCACTAAGGAAAATGAAAGGGACCGCTGGTTTCATGCAGCGTCACTCATTAGAAGTCCTGCTTCCACCTCCCATCTACACACTGGAGCACTAATTACATCAATAAATTCAAGTCAGATTGTGATCTAATGGTGCCTTCTGGCCTTCACTATTGAGCAGGCCAGAATAAATTAAATTTAATTGCCACTGTATATACTGAGCCAAGGCAGATAGGCTGGGAAGGGTCATTTAGGGAACTTCTCGCCAAACCCCTCAATCCCAAGCCAGGACTGATGTCATTTCCAAAACTGCTTTGATTTCACAGAAAAAAGGGGTAGAAATGTGCATGGGATGAGCTCAGCTGGGACGAGCCAGGGGCAGAGAATGTGGCATGGAGACCTGTCGTGCAACCTGGCTCTCACATATCACATCTGGCCACGGTCTTCTCTGCTGCCTTGTGTCAGGTGGGCCCTCGTGTACCTTCACAAAAGGTAAGCCTTATTTCTATTGCAAATCGACAAGTGATGGCAATCACCAGGGCTCATCAGCAGCTCTGAAGAACTTCTACTACAATAACATGGGAAAACAGGAGAAATGATGGCCACCACTCCCAGGGATGACTCTCTCCAGCTCTCACCTGGGCCCATTCAGAGTCATCTCAACTAGACCCTTTCCCAGCAATGCAGTATATGGGATTTAAAGAACAGTTGTGCTCGTGATCTCCCATGCCACAGCTGAAGCTGGCTTTCTGCAAGCTCCTGCCTTCCACGGGAACCACCCGATGCATTTCTTCTGCCTGCTCGCTCCGTCACATATCCATGTCTGGTTTTGTTCCCCAAGGGAAGTCAGATGAGGATTGGGAATGATACAGATAGGACCTAATTAATTCCGAGACATTTGCTCTTGGCAAGCTGGACGAGATAAAGGGAATTCGTCTTCTCTGAGCTACAATAATGAACCACTCAAGCAACCAGACAAGGGAATAAAGTCACTGTCCCTATTACAGGCACTGGTGGCAGACAACAGAGTACCTGTGGCTACACCTTTGTCTAGCACTCACAAGGTATTAAGGTCTTTGTGGAAGAAGCAGTAAGTTGTAACCCATTTCCAGCATGGGGGAAATGAAAGAATCAGAAAAGCTAGGAAAGCTATTTTCTTGTCAATCTCTTTCTGCATTTCTGGTGGGGGCTGCAAGCTGGGTGATGTCCCACTGGTCTCTGATACCAGCACTGGTGCCACCAACCCCTTCTCCAGCCAACTCCACATACACAAAGGCCCACTTACCCAGCTCAGGTGCAGTTGCTCCAATTACTGCCAAAGCAAGGGCTGGGAGGTTCTGAAGATGGACACATACTGAAACAAGTGGAACTGGGGCACTGTTTTTACAGATACAAGCTGAGAACTGGAGATGCCCATGAGATCAGCTCACACAAGCTGTGGGGTGGGGAGCAGGAGGCAACACATGGCCCAGGATGGGAGTCAGAGGAAAGCAGAGGAGACCAGGGGTGTCTGATCTTTCAGCAGGTATTACCCAGGTAAAAACGTAGCACATGGCAAGGGAGCAGCTGCCAGAAGTTAAGTTTGAAGCTGATGCTGGACAACAGGAGATGTCCTGCCATGACACAGCAGGCTACACAATAGAGATGTTTCAAGCTGAGACTTTTTTTTTTTTTTCAATGGAGCTTTTGGCTGTGGGGTTGTAACTGATTACACTCAGGATCACTGATTACAATAAGGATCTGATCCATGGAGTCTCTAAGCAACCCAATAAAATGACAATTTCAGAAGCATCTCTCTTTGGTTTGTAGCATCCCTATTAACTGGTCGCCTCTTACTCAGAAAGGGTAGGGGTCTCAGACCCCAAGGAGGCTGTCACGGGGTCTGCAACTATGAAAGGTCCCAGCAAGGCTCCCTGCAGCTGGGCTGGGGGCACTGCACCACCACAGCCACATCCAGCAGCAACAGGGCAGATGCAGCAGTGGCTTCCACCTGCCCTGCATAGGTTTTCTGCTTCAGCCAGCTGCTCGGGAGCCACATCCCTGAAGGACTGAGAGAGCAGGGCAGGGCACTTCCTGGAA